TATATATATATATATATATATATATATATATATATATATATATATATATATATATATATATATATATATATATATATATATATATGGCGATGTATATGAGTGAATTATGATGAATATGGTGAGAATGCGATATATGTATACTTTTATGTTAATATACACAATTATGTGCATTGATTATTATGATAATATTTCTCACCCTTCTGCTGGAATGGTGTTCTATCTGACATCATGCAAGTATCGAGAATAGAGCTGCTCGTAGTTGCATGGTCGTTGTTGGTGTAGCCATTTAGTAATTTAGTTATATTGGGTCGAGTCATGCTCTGGTCATGTAACACTGGGATCGTTTGGTTTATATTTTAGAGATACATTATGTATTCTATGTTATGTTTTTATATTCATTGGAATATTATGATGTTGGCCTTGGTGCCTAAGTAATGTTGAAGTATGTGATTAATCTGAATATTCTGTTAAGAGAATTATGAATATAAATTGAATCTGCCGCTGCATGCAAAGTGAAATCTCGAAAAGCATAATTATTTATTAAAGTGTTAATGAGCATGACAGATGATTTTTGATGTTTTGAAAGTTATGTGTTACGCCCTTTTGTGAATGCATGATAATTTACTCTGATTATTCATATATTTTCCGTGGGGTTTAGAAGGGTGTTACAATGGATCCTTGCAAACCTTGACATATGAAATAAATTCGGATCCAAAGGAAACATAGTCCACATGAATCGTCACTTCTCATGGGTTGTACCCTATCACAAGTCTCTTTACCCGTAGGCTCCATTCATACAACGAAAATCAAACCTGTCAAGGAACTAATGCATACACTCTAGAGGAGCTCTCTATATAAGCATTAACTATTGGAATGACACAACTCAAGGGATTGGTTCTGACTACATGATGTCACACACAAGCGTGATTGTATTTGACAATCATAATGCCACATACGCCTTATTCTCAAAGTAACACAAAAACCACACATGTTCCATATAATGTCTCACATCTCCACTAAATAACTAATTTTCAAGGATGCACACCTAGGCATCACATGCATAAGAATCGTCATCTAAGTCATTCGTTAATTCCTAGTTACATCACTAAATCATTCTATTGGATTTTGATAAGGTTCTCCTCACTTTTCTTAATCCAATTTAATCACATAATCATCATTTTAATCATTCCACATGCATAATACTCACAATAATCAATGTAAGCAAGATATAATAACCATACACATGCATGTGGAACAACTAAGCAATCATCAAAACAAAAGGTGAAAAACACTGTCAGGTTCGCATTGTGAAGGCCAGGCGAGGCAGGAAATATAATGGAAGTGGCAAAAGCCCTTAGTACTTACTGTGCAAGCTCTATGCGAGTGTTCGATTTCACCTTGCAGTACGAGCATGATAGACCATCACGTTCGCCTGCAGTTTGCTAGAGCTCGCAGTGTGAATCTTGTGATTTCTACAATCTGTCCAGCAGAGTATGACAGTCTCAAGGGGTTTTCAAACCCCGCTCTTACCCAAACTCAAACCATCATTAACGTTAACATATTCGCACGGGAAACAACATTTTAAACCATAATCTCCATCAATATCATGAATATAACATGAATCATATATTTTTCATGGAAATGGAACAAGAACGCCATAACTTAACTTTTTCCATTCTATCCAAATACTCTAACCTTGAGTTTCTACCTAGAACCCATCTCTAGATGATGAAAAAGTTATTAATGATGAAGATGAGATGATTTGATGATGAATGATGAAGTTTATTCTTCTTCTAATGTTTCCTTATTCTTTCTCCATTTTTCTCTACTTTCTTTCTATTCTTCTTCTTCTTCTTCTCCTCTTACTATCTTTCTTTTCTTTTATTTCATTGTCTTTTCTTTACTAATTATCCCACAGTGTTATACAAAATAAGGAAAGAAAGAAAAAAAAAATGATATTAGAGACATACCATCAAAAGTTAGTAAGACTAACTTGGAAAATGTCCAATTAAAATAGTATCCAAAATGTCTCTAATGCATCAATTGATAAAACCTCAGAGTCATATAATATTAATTATATCAACTCTTAGTTCATCAGTTACTCCAATTATCTCAACAGATAACTCTCAGAGCACACTGAAACTCAGTTGATCGCAACTAATATTATTTAGAGCATTTTATTAATATAGGGTATTACAGATGTAATGTAATGTCACTGATGTACTATTTTGAACAAATTATGCTATTATAATGTAATGCATTGATGTACTCGTTTGAACAAATTATGGTATGCTAATGTAATGGGACTGATGTACTTTTTTGAACAAATTATGCTATGCCAAAGTAATGTACTGATGTAACAACTATTTTGGTGAAATCTGTGTGTATTTCAATGTGAAAATTATAAATCACTTTGTGTGAAAATTATAGCTCATATTATTCCAAAATTATAGGTCACTTAATGTCAATATTATAGCTCATATTATGTAAAAATTACAAGTCACTTAATGACAATATTATAGCTCATATTATGCCAAAATTATAGGTCACTTAATGACAATATTATAGGTCAGTTAATATCTAAATTTTAGGTCACCTTGTCTACAAAATTACACATCATACTATGTTAACATTATACATTACACTATATCTAATTTATATGTCAAATTGTGTGAAAAACATATGCCACATTGTGTGGATATTAAAGGTCATAACTAAACCAAATATTTTCAAATCAAATCATATACTATACCAATTGAACAATACAATAACAATTACACCAATTTCTATTTCATACCAATCCAACATTACAAACCAATGATACAACATTAAAGACAAAACCAATGAGGCAACCTCACAGACAAAGTCACTTAGAAAAAATTACAGACAAAGATCAATTCAACAATTACACTTAATTAACAAATACAAGTTGACCAAGAATGAAACTACAATATAAATTGTCTTCAGCTTTCCCCAAAAGCCTCTGCCTTGATCTTCATCTTCAACCTCATGTTCTTCTTCATTTATGATTCATAAAACTCCTTCAAGGTTTCTACAACTTGCATATTGCTCACCTTACTCTCATATTTCCTCCATTATGTATCTACCTATTGATCATCATCCTTTCCTTATGCAATTTCATCATCCCAATGAATAAATTGCAAGTACTCTCGTTTTTCCAATACAGACATCTCCAAAATAATCTACCTTTATTCTGTTTGTTCTTTCACATGTATGAAATCATAGGACCATTGCATCCACACCTTTTCACTCCACGGTTCCTCACACTCGTGGAATAGTATGGCACAAATTTGCTTAACCTTGATGAAAATGACATAGGTCAAAGATGAAGGAGGGAGACAAATAAGAAGAAGAACAATGAGATCAAATGAAATTGAACAATTAAAGGGTACACATGTAATGGAGGGACACAGTGAAATAACAAGAATAATTGGATTAAGGTTCCCCTGCGTTTGGGTCTACATTTTATCATAAAAAATATTATTTAAAAACAAATCTGACGTGACCCGAAAAATTACACCGGTTGCATGCCATATAAGCCTCAGTTAGTGGAAACTAACGGGAGAGACTACATACAAGGATGAAAAACTTTGTGATGACCATTGTTTGAAGCAATTTTTTTGAGGGACTAAACTTAAAAGTTGACATACTTATAAGGACCTCAGACATATTTAACCATTTTAATTAACAATTGTCTTTATTTGAGACATAAAATTCTTATTTTCAAATGTCAAAATTTTTATTTTTCTCACAGGCCATTATCAACAAAATACATATTTTATTTTAATTAACAATTGTGTTTATTTGAGACACAAAATTCTTATTTTCAAATGTCAAAATTTCTATTTTTTTCACGGACCACTATCAGCAAAATGCCTATTTTTAATTAACAATTATCTTTAATTGAGGCACAAAATTCTTATTTTCAAATGTTAAAATTGAATTTATATTATTATTATTATTATTATTTATTTTATAGTTAATTGACTCATTTCAAATTTACATATATATTTAAATAAAATCTATATCGTATCAAAAAAATTTACCTGTGCGGACGCATGGGTATTTTGCTATTTCATTTGAAAATTTATTTTTACCTTGTAGAAACATCCAAAAGTTGGCAACCATGTCAACAAAGAGTTTAAAAAGTTTGAGAGGTTGCAAGGTATTTTTGAAAAAGATCGTGCAAATGATCGTATGATTGATGATGGTGATGAAAATGAAACAACTGAGAATCAAATTGGTGATAATGATGAGTTGGTGTATCAACATGATAATTTAGTAACTTCTGATGGAAATATTACTCCAGGATCATCTTCGAAACGACCTCGACGCGATCAATTAGCCACTAAAATTTTAGAGAGTCTTAATAACAAAATGGAAGTTGTGACAACTAATTTTGCTAATATTATAACCAAACTTCTCGATACGAAAAGTTCTTTTTAGAAATTGAAGATTAAAAAAAAAGTCTTTTGTAAGAAAGATAATGAAAATGTAATAAAAGTTAAAAATTTGATGATGCTATTTTGACAAATTATTTAACAAATTTTATTTATAATTTATGTTTCAATTAAAATTTCTTTTAAATTCTATCAAAATTTTATGTATTTTTTAATGATTTGCTTTATTTTATGAGATACTTTTTAATCATTTTGTATGGAAGTAAAATTTTGCATGAGCAATAGAATGACCAAAGAGCCCTTGTAAGATGAATGTAATTACATTCCATACTTTAGTAGTAATCTAATCACACACGATTCATTTGAATGAACAGTGGTTGCTTATTGTGGAAAAGAATATAAAGAATTGCACAGTCAAGTGGATCTGAATTCACATGGGACATCCCCAGAAAAAGAAGAAGAAAACATTACTCTTCTCCGTGTTAGGTACCTACTTTTTACTAAACAAACTGCTATCATTACATTACATTAATTAATTATTCATTATAGAGAGAGAAACACAAACACTGCTCCATCTCGATGGCGGAGCTCCGTCACTCCTCCTCAATCGGTTCCCGAACTGCTTCTTCTCCGATGAAGCGCGAAGGCACGGGCGCCGGCGATTCATCACCACTCATTCCGGAAAATGACCTCTCCGATGACGATCGCCACTCTCCTAAGGACCGGGACCGTCCTTTCTGCTCGCATTTTCATCAGCTTTGCTCCTACTTCACCGACGACCATAGGGTTCCTCTTCACAATTCCAGGATCTCGATATTCTTCACCTTGCTTCTACTTCTCGCTGGCTTGCTCGCCTTGTTCACGATCCTCCATAAATTGGTCTGTACTTTCCCTATAATCTTCACTAGTTATGCATTGAATTTGTGAGAAATCAATAATGTCTTACTTTATTTTTATCTCCTTCAAGTTCTGATGATAATTTGATTCTGATTTCGTTCGTTTGTAGAATTCCCCTTACTTGTGTAAAAAAGACGGGATTGTTCTTCACTGTCCACATGTAAGATATCTAAAGGATCATAGTTTTTATGTTGTTTTTCCCATACACATTTATCAGTATGTGTGTTCTTTTTTTTTTTTTGTAGGTCAAAGAATCAGCATCTCTTTGGGAAAATCCTTACTCATCGACAACATCGTGGAAGCCGTGTGCTGAGCGCAGAGATGGTGCCATATCAGGTTTCATGGACCCTAAATTGTGGCTGCATTTACCTTCTCATTAGCATTACATAAGTATTATGTCAAATGAGCTATTAAACAAACTAATAAGAATTAAGAACATATTCTTCACCCAGTAATTATGACAAAAATATCATTTGTCAGTAGCATTGGCGCATTGGCTAACTACAGTTATGGTTGGTACCTCAAGATAGATATTTGAACTGATGACCAACAATGTTTTTTAGTTAATGAAGTGAATGAAACCATAAACTTTTTTTATTTCCCTCTTCTTTCTTTAACCCCCTCCTATGAGTGGTCTTCACGGATTGATACTGCCTTCTGTATGTCTACATTCTATAAACGGTTCTTCAAAATTTCCTTTTCAGTGTAATATTCCCCAATCATCTCATATATGTTAGTGTGGATAATATATTCATATTAGTCCTATATAATGTTCCTTTTAATACTATTGCATTTGCTGATAGTACTTTTATACTTCCATGCAGAACTTCCTCAGGAAAATGCAACAAATGGCTATATATTCATTCACGCTGAAGGTGGTCTAAATCAGCAAAGAATTGCGGTAAGGGTAGTTCTTTCAATTGCGATACACTCTAGTCTAGACTGTTTTCCTTTTCTGAAATTCAGAGTTTTAAATTTTGTTGCTCGTTTTCTTTTGCGTTGCCATCATTACCTGGTAGACTGGTACAATTTAGATAGAGAATTTTTATTCCTGCTGTCCAATATGCGAGCTCTATGTGCTTTGAACTGATTGATATAACTGAAAGGGAACCTATTGAAAAATTTAATGACAGTATTTATTCACATACTTGTTCAATACTTCTATTTCGGGATGCATTTTTAGATAAAATCAATTGAGACAACTATTTGACTATATTAAGTCTGCATTCGGTGCTCAGGTAATATTTCCAATAAACCTCTGCATTCTTCTTATCTGGTTTTAAAGTGCCATCACAAAACTGTGCTGTTTCGAATTTGATGCACTGGCAATACCACTACAATTATTATTTAAAATTGAGTTTTGGCTCTGGTTCAATGTTGCATTTGATCCATGTTGTTGTTTTACTGTCGTGTACATAAATATGGGCTATATGAAATGACATTTTGCATTTGTATAATCATAATATTATACAAGACTTAATATCTATGAAGTGACACTTTGCATTAAGTTTTGTAGAATCATTTCATAATTATATATCAATTGATGATTTACTTTGGCCCCTATTCCAAAATGCAGATATGCAATGCTGTTTCGAATTTGATGCACTGGCAATACCACTACAATTATTATTTAAAATTGAGTTTTGACTCTGGTTCAAAGTTGCATTAGATCCATGATGTTGATTTTACTGTTGTGTACATAAAAATGGGCTATATGAAATGACACTTTGCATTTGTAGAATCATAATATTATATAAGACTTATCTATGAAATGACACTTTGCATTAAGTTTTGTAGAATCATTTCATAATTATTTATCAATTGATGATTTATTTTAGCTCCTATTCCAAAATGCAGATATGCAATGCAGTGGCTGTTGCAAAAATAATGAATGCCACTCTTATTTTGCCTGTATTGAAACAGGACCAAATTTGGAAAGACCAAACGTGAGATCTCTTGTCCAAAACTTTTCTCATGTTGTTTTGATCAGTTAAATTGTTGCCAGCATTTTGCCAAGCACACATTTGACATATCACATCATAAACATAATATATGTTTTACCCCATGTCATTAGTTTTTGAATTTCTAATCAATCTGGCTAAACTTTTTATCACTCCACTACTACTTTCCTCCTTTCTCAGCTGTAGATGTTGTCTTGCCTTGCATGGAAGATTTCAATAACAAACCACCTTGCCGAGCATTGTTAGAGTAGAAGTATACAATATAAGGGATTTTAAGCAGTTAGAATTAGTTACCGTAGTTTGTTGAGGAGGCTCAATTAAATGAATAAAGGAAAAATAGTAGAAGAGGGTTGAGTCATTGGGGTTGGTTAGTATGGAAAAACAGAATAGTGGCTTAGTTGTAGAAGGGGAAACTTTTATAGGACAGATTTATTTCCATGTTCTGTTCATTTTTCAGCTCAATAAAATCATTTTTCCTTTTCCTACTCCTAATTTTCCACTGTGAACTATTAACAAATTGGTTCGGCCTCCCTCTTTTGTGGGGAAGAAATGGAGAGCGAGGGTTGTTCTTGAAGGGAGGTTTAGTGATAATGGATTACAGCCTCAGTCATGGTGATCTGAAGATATTAAAACAACCAATGAAGATGCAGGGATCTGGTTGTGACAAAAGAAGGGTGGAATGCTACCCTCTGAGGTCAAGGAGAGTGCTGAAGGGACATGAAAAATCAACCACGCATTGGGGTATGGGGGTAAAGAAACAGATACATTTTTATGAGGAAAAATGTTTGAAGCCATGACGCTCGCCAGAGTTAGCCTTGCTGCAGCTACAGGAAAATGATTCAGAAAGAGATAAGGGGGAGTGCAGCTACCAAGAATCCTTTTCTTGTGTGAAGAAGACCAAGTTCCCTTATCTTGACAGTAGCATTCTGTTTGGTTGGGTCACTGGACCCAAAAAATTTCTTAAAGGTGCATTGGATAAAGCCTTTTTAGAAGCTGCAGGAAAAACCGGTTATAGAGATGGAATTAGAGCATGACCCAATGGCAGAAAGTTTGACTTGAGGATGAGATTACGGTGGAGGAGGGTAATATAAAGGACATGGAGATACAACACTGGTTTCATGCAGCATCTATCACGAGGAACCAGATAGTCTGATTTTGCTTCCATCACCAATGCGCCCAGGCACTAGCCCACATGTGGGTGGCCTGTAGGTTGTTAGTTACTGACAGAGCCATGATTTGCAGGTATGTCAAAGATAAGTCTCAGTACCGTAGATGTTTTTGGATCTGGAGACATAAAAACGGGCGGAATTGGCATTCTGCAAAATGGGTCTTCTTCTTTGCCCAATGGCTCAGGCTCAAATCAATCTTAAATTTAGGTACATGAGCAAGGAGATGGGATGCTGCCAATCCGCCAACGGCAGTTAATGTTTAAACTAATGAGCCAAGCCAAAACCTATAGGCAAATAGACTGCAATTATTGATGAGACATGGCTCCTAACTGTACTCCTATTTCTTCTTCAAGCAGATCGGTGCAGCGGCCGTGCTGCCTCTGCTACTGTCGAATATTGATCAATAATAACCCCCCAAAGACAAATAATTTTTTTCTCAAGGGTAAGAATCAGGGCCTAACATAAGTTCCAGTATCAGGTTTCAGGCAGCAGACAGGTGGGGAGATTTTAATCGAACGGGAGTTGTTAAAACACCTTAACAGGTTTCAGTCTCTAGCAAAGTCTACAGAAGGATTCTGGTGGAAGATGAGCAAGGGGATGAAGAGGGGTACTGTGCTGGCAGAATTTGAAATGAGTAACTTGTACACTATCAGCTGGCTATTTTCAACCGTAACGACAAGGTTGACCTTGAAGGGTGTGGTATTTAGGACTGTTTGCATCACCATAAAAAAAGCTAAACTGCATTGAGAACCCAACCGAACCGATCTCTAAAACACCAATTTGTTAGCATTATTGTGCAAACTGAACTGCCTGCTTACAACATGATCAGTGAACTGAACCGTGGTATAAAAATAGTTCGGTGAACCATAGTTAAATGAATTTCTGTTGATTGGATCTAGTCTTTGTGTTTTCGCTCCCCTCTGTTACCTACCAAAATATCAGTACAATGAAAATAGGATATTAATAGGTAGACACGATGATGAAATGCATTTTTTACAAAAAGTTTGGCTGGAAAAATGTTTTTTTACTTTTCATTTCTTTTCAGTCAATTTTATAATTTTAGTAGAAGAGGATTGACATTTGATTAATTTAGAAAAAAACCGTTAAATGGTTCAATAGTAAAAGGGGAACCCTCTTTGGAGAGAATTCTTTGTTCTGTTCATTCTTCAGTTTTTCAATAAAATCATTTTGGTTTTTCTTTTTTCTGATTGTGGGTTCCTAACAATGACGGTGCATTTCATAATTACAGGAAATTTGAAGACATTTTTGATGTGGACCACTTCATTGACTACCTAAAGTATGATGTCCGTATTGTCCGCGATATCCCAGAATGGTTTACTGATAAAACAGAGCTATTTTCTAGTATAAGGTTTGATAGATTCTTGTCCCTTTGAGTAGAGTCTGTTGAAAATCTAAATCCCAAGCTGCTGTAAGTGATGGAGAACTATATTCCTTTTATATACACATGCACAGGGGATGTGGCATGTATCTAGTGAAAGGACTTCTTTATATGAAAAAGAGAGGAGTAAATCTTAGCCATTTAACTGTTTATATTGGATGTTTGTCTATCGTCAATGGTCTCACTACTTAAAAAATCACACGATTTTATCTTCTAACCCCGACATTTCATGGTTCGATCCAAGGGCCAAGTTTTATTCCTCGACTCTCACGTAGATGACCTTCTCACTTGATTATGTCTCCACCTACTCTGAAAGTAAATTGTCAAAGTTAGTCTATTTAATAACTAGTTATAGACATTTAAGTTTCATCAATTCAATGTCTACAAAGAAGTTTGCTAAATGAAGTAACTATGACAAAAGTTACTTTTGAACTAAGGTGGTCTCAATCACATGTGTGTGTGTGTAATATAAATTTGAGGGATTGATTAGTATGTTCAAAGGCATTTTGTTATCATGAATGTCACAATAACATTGTACTGATTGACATAAGATTTGGTTGATCTGCTGCATTTTGTTATCAAATGGCATTGTAATTTATAATTATGATTTTGCAGTTAGATTCCCGTGCCTTTTATTTCAGTCTGTTGAGCACACAAATTCCTGTGCCAGTATGTAAAAACTGGTTTTTATGTTGGTTTTCTATTGCATCCGAGGATTTATTGACATGGGATTTTGGTTTAAGTGCCGAGTGCTTGGACCAAATAGCGTGACTACTATGAGTTTAAATTACTTCCTCACTATGAATATCCTGCATTGATGATGGTTTGAGGGGTCAGGGGTTGTTGTGAATGGACAGAGAAGACACTGACCCAATCTCCTTTGTATATGCCTTTTAATATCCAACCTTTTGCATGCTACTCTTTAACTTTGGCAAATTATTACCACTGATATCAACATTTTCCAATAACTGCTCAAAATTGATGCCATTGACTTGACTAACAAAGCAAGAATGTGTTGTCTTTCAGACGAACTGTGAAGAACATTCCAAAATATGCACCCGCACAATTTTACATCGACAATGTTCTGCCTCGCATCAAGGAGAAAAAGATTATGGCTCTGAAACCATTTGTTGATAGGCTAGGGTAGGCCAATGATGATACAAATACTAGATTTCACTTTTTATTTTGTTTTATCTAGTTGATGTTGTCATAACGACCCTGTTATTGTTTCAGATATGACAATGTTCCTTCAGAAATCAACAAGTTGAGATGTAGGGTCAATTATCATGCTCTGAAGTTTCTTCCCGATATAGAGCAGATGGCAGATTTACTAGCATCGAGGATGAGAAACCGAACAGGCAGTTCAAACCCATATATGTATATAATGACATTCATGATCAAAGACTTGTTGCTGATTTTAGGTGCATTTTTTAATTGTCAGTAATTTAACAGTTTTACTGCAAACAGGGCATTGCATCTTAGATTTGAAAAAGGAATGGTGGGTCTATCGTTTTGTGATTTTGTGGGGACAAGAGACGAGAAAGCTAAAATGGCAGAATATAGAAAAAAGGAGTGGCCTCGACGGTATAAGGTGCCATACTACTATTTTTATTTTAAATCAAAATGAGCACTTGGAACCTCTCAATTTCATTGGAACATTTTGATCATACCATAATTGTTGAAAATGCAGAATGGTTCCCACTTGTGGCAATTGGCTCTGCAGAAGCGAAAGGAAGGACGTTGCCCTCTAGAGCCTGGCGAAGTGGCTGTTATTCTTCGGGCTATGGGCTATATGAAGGAAACTCAAATTTATGTAGCCTCTGGACAAGTTTATGGTGGACAGAATCGGATGGCTCCTCTGAGGAATATGTTCCCTAATCTGGTAAGACCTTTCCTACTGCCATAAGAATTATAAAAAATGAGCATGGTGCTCTGCGATTGAAGTTATGTAAACTGATTAGAAGCTTTATTGCTTTCTTTGATTTGTTTAATGAAAATAAAATCCATTATGTAGTGAATTTAATGGTGTCATGACATGAGTTTTTTTAGTGTCAATGAAAGCTGTCAAGCTACGACGCAATGATCTCTTGCTTTGTTGTGTTCAATTTATTCATCAATAACTTAACAAACCTATCGGTTTGCTACTTTTGCAATATGATGAATGTTAGGTTACAAAGGAGGAGTTGGCAACTAAAGAGGAGTTAGATGGTTTCAGGAAGCATGTAACGAGTCTTGCAGCTCTTGATTTCTTAGTGTGCTTGAAGTCAGATGTGTTTGTGATGACCCATGGAGGCAATTTTGCTAAGCTGATAATTGGGGCCCGAAGATACATGGGTCACCGTCTAAAGTCAATTAAGCCTGACAAAGGACTAATGTCAAAGTCTTTTGGGGATCCGTACATGGGTTGGGCTCCTTTTGTAGAAGATGTTATTGTGACTCATCAGACACGGACGGGATTGCCAGAAGAGACTTTCCCTAATTACGACCTGTGGGAGAACCCTCTGACTCCTTGCATGTGTAAAGCCTGACCATAGCTATTTTTATTGACGCGTTTCACTGGGACTTTCACATTTCCAAGAATTATACCATCTAAGTTATGAGTTTTATATATCTCTATGGTAAAGTGAAAACACGGTCTGTGGCTAATTCACCCTTAGGCTGGAGGGACAGTAAATAGAGATTTAGAGAAGAGGTAATGGCTTGCAGGAAATGAGGTTCGACTGTTGGTTATCATTTTAAAGAGTAGATTCCCTACTATTGATGGTTCTCATTGCTGAGAAACCTGGTGGTTTTTTTTCTTTTCATCTAACATGTAGCAATACCTCAAGTCCACTTTTCTTCCTCTTGAAAAGAAACTGACAATTTTTTGAACAGAGAAAAAAGTGCAAATTGTTGATGAATTAAATGTTGTTGAGTTCCTTTTGTTGTTCATAAGATTATCTATGTAAGAGCCCTTAGCTGTAAAATGTTAGGGCGAATAGCATTATGTTGGACAAAAAATGGAAAACATTTGAATATGTCCTTCAGCCAAAAAGTTGTTGGCAATCATTTCATTGTTAATTTAAAATATAAATTAGTATACTGCCAAGCCAATTATGTTTTATATAATATGTTCACAATAATGAACCTTAGACCCAGTCCCCACTAAGATCAAAGGTCACTAGAATCTAAACCCTAAAACAAGGAATATATATATATATATGGAGTATGCGTGTCTTGCTTATTCATTTAGCATAAATGTCATGAAATTCAATTTTAGACATCTAAATTCGATAATAAATCAAACATGTGGTCAATACAGTTCAATATTAATATGGTATATAGTCGATACGAATGATTTAGATTTTGAGATTTTTCACATGGCAATATCTGGTGGGTTGTTCCTCCTTTTTATGAGACTAGTGATGGATCGGAAACTTGTCTTCCTGCTAGAGAACATGGCTGGGCAAAATTGAGGCGGAAGTTTGCTAGTGGTGTCATGAAAGAAATCTTAACATCTCCCAAATGGAAGTGTGATGTGATTATGGAGGAAGAAAAACAAGATTTTGGAGCTGATGATGATGATCCCTTGTCTGCGTCACCGTCATTAAATCATCCCAGTGACTGTGGCTCCTCGGATTCCTTTGAATGTTATCTAACCAGCTTGGACAGAGGAAAAGATACTGTTGAAGCCATGGACTCGTCTGTATCTGATCCTGGTGTTTCTTCTTTGCCGCCACTATCTCCCTGTGGCAGTTATTTTCCCTGTAATTTTCTAAGCAGCAGCCCAAAATTCAATTCCAAGTCGCCAACACTTTCACCTTCAAGTTTCGATTACGCAAGTTCGTTTACATTTTCGCCATCCTCTACTAATTGGTCAGACTTGTCGTTCATGTCTTCCCAGCAGCCATCACCATCTGGCCCGAAATCAATTGAACCTTTGTAAGTTAAGGATCTGTCTTTCTCAACAAGTTCCTCTTTACTTAACAAAGAAGTTCTTCTATCTTCACCTTCAGAGTCGTTTTCGACTGATCAAACCTTGGGAGGGGAAAACTCATATTTGCCATCAAAAGGATCTTTTCTCTCTATTGCACAGCGTAGAGGGAGTAATGTACCGCCTCAGATGTTGCTGCCCTCTGTCAAAGAATCCTCTAAAGTCTATAAGAACCTGGTAAGATCACAGTCATTCCATTTGCCTGACTTAGATGTTACGAAATCCGATAATTACAATAAATCTGATAATGAAAACAGTATGAAATGGCTAATAGTAGATGATGATATCATTAGTTCAGTTGTTGAACAGCAGAGTGAGATTAGTATTAAAGAAGATCGTGGTATCATGTTATGTAATATGATGACTGAGCTTGAAGTAGAGGAAAAATGAATAGAATCAGTTTAGTCAGAATTGGCTAATTTCTATATGTATATTTGCACTCACACGCTCAGACTCTATTCAGTACATGCCCGATAAAGATTGTATGCATGTTGTGCACTGATTCTGTTGAAGTACAAACCAATATATAAATATACAAAATATTAAATTTAGTGGGATATAGAGCCTATCTTTCTCTTGATTTTAAGTGTTTCAGGTGTTTTCTGTTAAGATAATAGAAAGAGAGAGAAAAATATGATTTGTATTTTCTTCTGTTAAGATAATAGAAAGAGAGAGAAAAATATGATTTGTATTTTCATTCTTGGCAAAATAGAATACAACCAATATATATATATATATATATATATATATATATATATATATATATAGCTGTAAGTTTGTTATCACAGATGACACAACTCACTAACAAACTTACAGCTGTGCCTTAACAAACAGACAGTTGTGAATAAGAGAAAAGGACAAACAATAGAATAAGACAAAACAGTAGAATATTCTATTCTAATAGTCCCCCTTAGTATCAGAGGGTGTCTTCAGTAGCTCCCTTTTACTGAAAACTCTGAGCTTGTCTCTTAGAGGCAGGAATTTGACAACAGAGAGAGGTTTGGTTAGTGCATCTGCCCATTGGTCTTGAGCAGGAACATGAACCACAGTTAAACTCTTGCTGATGACTTTTTCTCTAAGGAAGAAAATATCTAATTCCATGTGTTTGGTTCTGTTGTGAAGCACAGGGTTGTGAGCTAAAGTAACTGTGCTTAGGTTATCACATAGAATCTTGGGAATTTGAAAAGTGCAGTGTAATTCAGTGAGCAGAGATTGGACCCATAACATCTCAGAGGCAAGCTGAGCCATGCTCCTGTTCTCTGCTTCAGCACTTGATCTAGCCACAAGTTGCTGCTTCTTGGACCACCAAGAGATCAAATTAGGCCCAAGAAAAACACAAGCACCTGAGGTTGATCTCCTGTCATCAGGATCTGCAGCCCAGTCTGCATCACAAAAACCCAAGAGAGAAAGAGGCTGCTGTTTAGGGGCAGGTTGAATGAGAAGACCATAGTGAAGTGTCCCACTGAGATATCTCAGTATTCTCTTGACAACTTTCCAGTGATCCTCCAAAGGATTGGATAAGAATTGGCACACTTTGTTAACAGCAAAAGAGAGTTCACGCCTGGTCAATGTTGCATACTGCAATGCTCCAACAACAGATCTAAACAGGGTGAGATCTGCAACAGTATCTGAACCAAATTTAGACAATTTATTGCTAGAAACCATAGGAGTAGGCATAGGATTAGCTGTGGCCATATTCACTCTAGTAAGCAGGTCACTCACATACTTAGATTAAGATAAGATGATAGAACCATTAGACAGATGGGAAACTTCAATGCCTAGGAAATAATCCAACTTATCAAGATCTTTGAGGGCAAAATTAGAGTTAAGACTCTTAATAAGCTGAGCAATATAGGCAGTGGAATTTCCTGTGATGATGATATCATCAACATAGATTAAGACCATGATAATGAGGCTGTTGGTGTGAAGATAAAACAATCTGGGATCACATTTGCTAGGCTGCAGTCCATGAGTCAGAAGAGAACCCTTGAGTCTTTCAAACTAGGCTCTTGGAGCCTTCTTTAGACCATATAAAGCTTTGTTCAGCTTGCAAACCAAAGACTTATCAGTAGCCTCAAACCCAGGAGGTTGTATCATATAAACCTCCTCTTCAAGTAGCCCATTAAGGAAGGTAGTATTGACATCAATTTGCTGCATCTGCCAGTTATTTGTGACAGCAAGGGTTAACACAAGTCTTATGGTGACAGGTTTTACTACAGGGGAGAAGGTTTATGAGAAATCACTCCCAGCCTGTTGGTGAAAACCTTTGGCAACCAACCTTGCCTTGTATTTAAGAATGGTACCATCAGGGTTCTCTTTCACACAGAAAACCCATTTGCAGCCTATGGGTTTCTTGGATGCAGGTGGAGGCACCAAAGACCAAGTCTGATTTTTCAAAAGAGCCTAATATTCATCTTGCATAGCTTGAAACAAGTGAGGAGTGGTCAAGGCATGTTTGATTGAGGTAGGTTCCATGTGAGTTAAGAGCAAAGTAGGATTGACTCTAGGCTGAACAATGCCATTTTTGGCACGAGTTTGCATGGGATGAACATTGAGAGGGTGAATAGGACGAATAAGAGCAGAATTAGAAGAAGAAGGGACAGAAGATGAAGAGGAAGGAGATATAGTGCTGGCCTCAGCCAGATCAGAAAGGTCAGAAGGAGAGGAGTGTGAATGATGCAAGGGAGAAAAGGGAGAGCCTGCACTAGAGACAATAAGAGACATAGGTTGAGCAGAGATAGGAGAATAAGAATGTTCTGTAGTGTGGGAAGCATCATTAGAAGGTGATGGCTGAGAAGAGACAGGAGGGGAAACCTGCTGCAGTGGGGGAATAAGAAATGTAGGAACAGGTGGAGAGGCAGAAGGAAACCAAGAGACAGAAGTAATGGAAGTCACAAGAGTGGAGGAGCTAGAAAATAGCTAAGGGTAGGGAAATCTAGTTTCATGGAATAGGACATCTTTAGATATATATATGTGTCCATCATCTGAAAGGCATTAGCCTTTGTGAACAGAGGAATATCCTAGAAAAATACACTATTGAGATCTAAATGAAAGTTTGTGGGAGGTATAGGGTCTAAGGAAGGGGAAACAGGCACAGCCAAAAGCCCTCATTGAGGAATAGTCAGGAGGTTTGTGCATTAAAATGGAATAAGGAGATTTATTTTGAAGGGAAGCACTAGGTAACCTATTGATAAGGTAGGCTGCAGTGAGAAAAGAATGATCCCAATACTTGAAAGGAAGTTTAGAATGAGCAAGAAGAGCAAGGCCTGTTTCAACTATATGGCGATGTTTCCTTTCCACTATGCCATTTTGATGGTGAGTGTAAGGGCAAGAAAACCTATGAGTAATTCCTAAGGGAGCAAGAAACTTAGTGAGAGGTTTGAACTCACCACCTCCATCACTTTTGATGCCTTTAATTTTACAGTTGAACTGAAGTTCAACCATAGACTTGAAGTGTATAAATTGAGTGAGGGTGTCAGACTTTAGTTTTAAAGGGAAAACCCAAGCAAATCTTGAGAAAGCATCAACGCAGGTTAAGAAATAAGAGTAACCTCCTGAGGAGACCATGGGTGCAGGGCCCGAAGGATCACACACAACGAGTTCAAAGGGACAGGTGAAAATAGTAGTGGACAATGTTGATGGCAGTCTGTGAGACTTGCCTAAACAGCAAGCAGAACATAGGTCAGTGGGAGGCTTTTGAGGGATAGGAATTTGACAGAGTTTGAGAACCTCAAGAAGTGCATGATGGTGAGGGTGACCAAGCCTAGTATGCCATAGAGCATACTTGTTATTTGATATAGTGGCAGAGTTAGACATGGCAGAATTAAAGTAGGAATTAAGAGCAGAAGTTAAATGTACAGCAGGAGAATTGAATGTAGAGTTAGATGCAGTTTTATTATTGTGAAAATCATCATTACAATAGGAAAGATGATTGCTAGTAGCAACAGGATTACAAGGATAACTAAGTCTAGAACAAAAATTAGAACTAGGAGACTTAGAACTAGAACTAATACACTTGAATAGAGAGGCAATGGGCTTGACAAATTTGCAGAGTCCATCAGCTCCAACAGTACCATGAAGAAGAATTTCAGAAGTATCCTGCAATTTTACAACACAAAATTGAGGATGAAATTCAAAATAGACACGATTATCCTGAGCAAATTTGCTGACACTGATGAGATTCTTAGTTATATGAGGAACAAGAAGAAGATTATGCAAGATTAATGATGAATAGAGGGATTAGAGGAAGGAAAACTCATGGAACCTACATAATCAATAAACAAACCTTGACCATTCCCCATGAACACTTGTTCAGTTCCAGGCAGTGAAGAAACATCGGACAAATTTGAAATCTCAGGCGTGACATGATGCGAAGCACCTGAATCTGAATACCACCATTGGTTGTTGAAGCTGGGATCAGAACCTGCTAAGAAAGCTTGAGGTTGAGGCTGCCTTGGTGGTGTAGGCCTTGGAGCAGGAGCATAACCAAAAGCAGAAGGAGGATATGGTGAGCGTGGCATCATCATGAAAGGATTGAAGGGAGTTCTTGGTAAAGGGTAGGACAGAGCACCTAAAGACGAGTACCTATGATAACATATTGATGCATCATGACCAGGTTTGTGGCATATTTGACAAGAAACTTTACCAGATCTGCCACCTCCACCTCCAAATCTTCCACCACCACGACCAGACCTACCACCACGAAAGCCATACCCATGATTGTCAGCAGTGGCGTTAACATGGCTAGTACCAACCGGAAAGGTTGAGGCAGTATCTACACCAGAAGCATCAGCAGAGAAAGACTGAGAAGATGGTGGTGCTTGAGCAAGATTCACTGAAACAGGTTCAATGACAACAGCTTTACGATTCTTCTCTAGACGCGATTCATGAGCAAGGATACTCGATTCAAGCTCTTCAATCGTACTGAGATCCTCTTTGCTGTTCATCGTAGCAACAATAGGATCATACTCTTCAGGAAGAGCATCGAGAACGATTTCAATGAGATTCCGCTGAGGAACAGGGTCGCCAATAGATACCAGAGATTCGCTGATGTCACGAACACGAATCATGAATTCTGTTATCGTGCGCGAACCTTTGGTGAGATTTCGGAGCTCCGATCGAAGTTGACGCGCCTTGGTAGTGAGCAAGGTGTTGAAGTAACGTTGAACTTCAGACCACACTTGCCATGAGTACGTGCAATCAACCAGTTTCGGAAGAATGGAGTCAGAGATAGTGGAGAGGAGACAAGTACAGATAAGCGCATCTTGCTGTTCCCAGTCAAGATACAAGGGATTCGCACCGCCGGTGACCGAATATGCACCGGGAAGGAAGCGCGGAGGAACAAGTGGCGTCGTAATAAACCGTTGCAAATTGTGGCCGCGAATCACACCCTCAATCTGCTGTTTCCATTGCTTGAAGTTTCTTTCATCAAGCTTGACAGAGATGAGGTGAGAAAGTTTGATGTGAGAAGATGGAAAAACACCCTCAGAATTGAAAGGAGAAGCCATGGGAGCACGGGAAAGAAGAAAAAAAAAGGCTCAAGATACCATGTTAAGATGATTGAAAGAGAGAAAAATTTGATTTGTATTTTCATTCTTGGCAAAATAGAATACAACCAGTAGATATATATATATAGCTGTAAGTTTGTTATCACAGATGGCACATCTCACTAACAAACTTACAGCTATGCCTTAACTAACAAACTTACAGCTATGCCTTAACTAACAGACAGCTGTGAATAAAAGAAAAGGACAAACAATAGAATAAGACAAAAAAGTAGAATATTTTATTCTAATATTTTCCTATTCTTGTTTATTCATCTTTTTAGTATTATTGCCATAATGATGAGGCGAAGCAAGACAGCAATCCATCAATCACTAATTTTAAATTGATGTATACCAATCAAATAACCTTTACATGAATCGATAGCAGAACTAGGCTGTATGAAAGATCACTTATTGAATGTTGTAAAATATTAATACCATCAGTTATCGGTCACTGTTTACACTGATAAACAAATTGAAGTTTCAATTTGATTGTTTGGAACAATGATTTAGTTTAAGATGCTTGGTCTGATTCACAGCCAACTATTAGTGTGTTTGTCTAAATCCAATGCATTATATGATATACAATTCAGTTGGCCAACTAACTATGCAAAATACTAAGAGCAATAAATTATGTTGTCACTTCAGATGCGAACATGTCCAGATTTTGTTTAGAAGTTGATTCAATTTTCTGCTTCATTTTCAGGAGGAATACACCTACTAACACCAAAAGCTGGACTAAAAATAAGCACCCTAAACATTTTTCCCAGTAGCATACTGAAATCAGGACATGTAGCATTCATTACAGATGACAGTATGGGTAATTTGTTCATATATATATATATATATATATATATATATATATATATATATATATATATATATATATATATATATACCCCAAAAAAACATGTAATACAGACCAAGCATCTTAAACAAGGTTCAACTGTCTGATTATTTCTTAAAGCCATTCTGTGATCTTAAAAGTGCCATTGTGGGACCCAGTGCGCTGTATTTGGCTCTCTGAGACCATGGCCTATTGCTTGAAATATCATCTTTCTTCCAACAATCCCCCTGCGACAGCCTGGCCTTCTTTGCTTTTAATGCTTTGTTGATTTCATCCCAAACATTAACTTCTCCATTTTCTGTAAAAAGAGAATCTCCGTACGCAAGTATGGTGCAGGTGTATCAAGATGTTTTCATGTTTATATACAATAAACGGTGTACTTTAAGAATTGTAAAATGTACATTACCTTTAGCAGGGGTATGGCCCTCCTTTTGTGGCTTCGAGCTTCCAACAGGAGTTTGATTACCAACAAGTTTTTCATGAGTGATATTGTTGGTTGCTTTTGTTGGAGTTACCAAAGCATCAGTGCTATTGTTAGTTGCTTTTGTTGGAGTTACTAAAGCATCGTTAGAAGCAACTACAGTTGCCAAATTCGGGTGGCCATGCTTAATAATACGAACATCAGCAAGAGATACATAATCAATCTGCAGAATGAAAAAACTTTCATTTTTATGCAAACAAGCAGCATGTTTTTGTCAAATAGACAAGTTTATTGGACATTCATTGTCAAGCGTATATGCAATGCCAGGATTGAGTAAGATAAAATTAAATACATCTAAAGGAAGATAAACAAAATCTAGAGACTTTTTAATCCAAGATGATGGTACAATTTTTTGTGCGCTGTTTTTAATATTCTTTAATCACAATTCAACACGCACAGTAGCATAAATAAAACCATTTTAAATTAACAAAACATTTTAATCCATGTACCGTATTATAATTAATGAATGGCACTTAAATTTAGTCCTAAACATAAACCTTGGTAGCATTTGCTTGCTATAAAAGGCAAAACTCACATGCCAATTGGATAGTGAAATTTTATTTAATTTATTTTGGTGGGGCTGTATAACAGGATGCAAGACTAAAAACATCGGCACCAATTTTTGCAAGAATAACCCCCATTGAATAAGCCACTGCGTAAAATGATTTTTAGAAGAAAATTACCTCTAAAGAACCATCTTCCTGGTAAGGGGAAGGATCATACTGTGCAGGTGTTGCATCGTCATCTAGGTCATCTATTTTCTTCCTAAAATCAAATGGAAATTCTGAAACTGTCTCTAGCCATATCCTGTTTAATTTACTGTCATACTTTGTTACTTTACCAACCTGCGAGGACATGAATGCGTACATCTTACATCTGATACAAATAGTATTTTATAAAATAGTCCAAAAGTAGACTTGATAATTACTCTGAAGGAGGAGATCTCAGGAGACCAAGATTCTGATAACTCAATCAATCGATAAGCAATAACAATCCCTTCCTGCAATATATGAAGAAACTACTTCGTAGTACCAAAGGAGTAAAAGCAGCAAAATTTACAGATTCATAGCACAGAATAAAATTCTGAATTTGAATGGTATAACAAAAATCCGCAGAAAAAACATCAAACACATGGCTGCTGGTTGATTAACTTCATGGGTGCTTGCAGTGCTATCAAATATCCACACTATGGCGGATATACATGGCACATGGTAGTTTTTGGGCTCGCAGCTATGGTAAATATCAGCCGATATTGTCGGTTTTTTCGCCATAATCCACTAATATGGCGCCAAAAAGCACCAGGTGTGGCAGGATTTTGGCTCTCCGCCATGGACAACGCTGGGTGCTTGGCAGGATGAGACATGCCACAAGGACACACTTGAAAGAAAATAAAATAATAACCTTCGGCATGTCTGTATAAGGTGTAAGCTTTTCAAAATCTACTGCGTCAAATAAAATAATAACCTTCGGCAAGTCTGTATAAGGTGTAAGCTTTTCAAAATCTACTGCGTCAAATGTCTTTTTTTCCCCAGCATTCTGAACAGTAGGAAAATCTTGACAGGGCTGCTCGTAATCATCCTGTTTATGGGATGAGGTCCTCTCTTTACCCCATTTCTGGCCCTTCTTCTTGCTGGTAGTACCACTCCACTGAAATGTGTCCTGAAACATCCATATAACATATAGATATCTAGAGGGATGCTGTGATCAAATAGTAGGCATGCCTCATGAAATCTAAACACCACCAAGATAAACTTTTTCCTTCTGCAAGGTTTTGACTTTATAATCAACCAGGCACGGAATTAACATTGTGGGCCAAATTGCTTGAGTAGATAACGAACATAGTCAGTTAAACTATTTGAACTATTAGGCCCTCCAGTTAGAATTAAGATATGGATTGCATGAGCTGTTTTAGAGGAACAAAATCAATCAACGGCTAAAAAATTGATATATTGAGGAACAGTTTGCTATATTGAGGAACAGCTTACCCAGAGACCTAGGAAAGGACCTAAGAGTAACAAGAAGTCTATTATGGAAATTTTGCAATATTGGATTTCAAATCACTCAAGGCAGGAAAACTTTATATCCTTCATCAAGCTATAGTCCAAAACTCAAATAAAAAAATAAAATAAATATAATAACAAAACAAAAGATGAGATGCAAACATACTAATGTATGATTTTGAAAACGGTAACCAAAGACAAGTGACCCCAATAAGACTGATGTATGATTTCCACCCTTGCAATATTATGAAGTGGGTATCTTACTAACCAGACTATTAACCGCATAACCCAGCATGTAAACAACGTCGTATACAGCAATTGTCAGTAATAAGTAGTATCAAGAGTAACATATTTCCAATCTCCATATAAAATGTAAACGACCACTGCAGTAATATTACTAGATTAGATTACCTTCTCCTTCTCATTCTCATTCTCATTCTCATTCTCCTTTTCCTTTTCCTTCTCCTTCTCTAATTTTAGTTCCCTCAACCACTTTCTCTTGGCCTTTTTCCGCCGAGCACTTCTGCTAGGCAACTAACAAAATAAAATAAAAACGGCATATTAAAGCGGATTAATTTGAACACCCCTACTTCAGTGAAGGGGTTGTAATATTACTAGATTAGATTACCTTCTCCTTCTCCTTCTCCTTCTCCTTCTCCTTCTCCTTCTCCTTCTCCTTCTCCTTCTCCTTTTCCTTTTCCTTTTCCTTTTCCTTCTCTAATTTTAGTTTCCTCAACCACTTTCTCTTGGCCTTTTTCCGCCGAGCACTTCTGCTAGGCAACTAACAAAATAAAATAAAAACGGTAAATTAAAGCGGATTAATTTGAACACCCCTACTTCAGTGAAGGGGTTGTAATATTACTAGATTAGATTACCTTACCTTCTCCTTCTCATTCTCATTCTCATTCTCATTCTCATTCTCATTCTCATTCTCATTCTCATTCTCATTCTCATTCTCATTCTCATTCTCTAATTTTCGTTCCCTCAACCACTTTCTCTTGGCCTTTTTCCGCCGAGCACTTCTGCTAGGCAACTAACAAAATAAAATAAAAACGGTAAATTAAAGCGGATTAATTTGAACACCCCTACTTCAGTGAAGGGGTTGGCTAGTAAATGTGATATGAAGCAGCAAGGAAGTTGATCCATAAAAACAGCAATAATTTATTTAATGAGCATCAACTAGTCTCCAAGTGCTATAGTATACTTGCTTGACCTAAATATAAAGGATATGTTGTTTTATTATCTCAGGGGAGGACTGTTTATTACAGAAGTAAAATTGATCCTCCAAATACACAGGAGACAGCCAGTCTTCCAAAGAATTTTAGATATCAATTTAGCAATCCAATGTTTCAAATGGACATCAATTTATTCCCTCGTTATCTCTTAGGACATCAATCTAAGCCCAAATTGATGCTGAATTTACACTACAAAGGACCAAACTTGGGTCCAATATCTTTTTGGAGGACTAACTCAATGCCCCGTGTATCTTTGGAAGCTCAATTTGAGTATTTACTCTAATTTATTTCAATCTGAGTATTTACTCTATTCCAAATCAGTTCATCAAGGTAATAGAACCTCAGTTAAATGTGTATTCAAAACCATAAAATAAAACAGTACCTTTTTAGTTTCGCCTTCACCTTGAGGCTGAAGAGACCTACATGAAATATATCAGAAAAAACGGTAAACAAAAAAAAATTCTACATTCAATATGCTGGAAGCAAACATCGTCATCGTGGGGGATCAAGGGTATAAAGTTGGATGAAAATAAGGGATTTGATAGTAGGAATACAGAAATAAAACAGCTTATACATGAAACCCGTTTTCCTACTTCATGAAAGTGCATCTTTCAATCTAAAAAGGTAGATAGAAAAACCAAAAAAATGGCCAGAATATAAGATCACCAAGCATGCAACAAATTGTCCCTAAAATTTTCTCAGCTAAGTGTCTAGCACAAAACTTTACAAATACACACTGCAATTTACGATTAGAAAATGGAATATTTATATAATATCCAAACATCTTGTATATGATAAATCTCTGGTAAAAATGCAGCACCTTGTTTCATCGCTTGTTGACCCATTTTTGTCATCTTTTTGTTTAACTAAATCAAGGTTGCTAGACTTTTTTGACAACTTTTTTGATGACTTTTTTGCAGGACTTGGCTGCTGGTGAGTACCGTCTTTAATACTTACATTTTCCTTATCATCAACCTCAGGAATGACTGATACGTTTTCAGTAGTAGACATCTTAATCTTCTTCTGACTGAATACAAAAATAATTGAATCAAACTAACAAGTAACAGCTTGAATAATATATACATCCACAGATAACTGCTACAGAAATTCTAAACTATAAATAACTACAAAAAGCATATCCCTAGGTAATAAATAGTTATATAAACTTGAAAATTAAAACAAGTAGTTCGGCCAAAAACAAGTTGCGCATCCTTACAAAAGTTACTTCAATGAAACTAGATTCAAAACACCCAAAAGCAAAAATGCATCATAAACAACAAAACTCATACAATTTTACAACTCTGTAGGCTTGCAGGGCACAACAGTTAGAAATGTGAAGAAACAAACCTAGGGCTCTTAAGCTTCTTTGACGCCTTTCTCTTTTTCAAGGTTGTATTCACATCAGATTTAGATTCCACATAAACCACATCTTCAGGTTGATCATCGTCATCATCATCATCATCATCATCTTCATCATCTAGGGAAACAGTTTCATATTCTGGCTTCTCCTCTTGAAACCCCTCAATAGCAAGTAGGTTCAGAGCCTCTATGGATTGATTTTCACGAGCTTCTAACGGCAGCATTGCAGATTTACTCTCAGTTAACCTACTTCCCTTTCTCTTCACACTACCATGCACATGCAAACAACACAATAATATAAGTAATAAAAACTAGAACAAGTTAACAACATCCTCAGAAATTCAATACAACCATTGGATAAAAAAACTCACCACAGAATGTCTTTATCCTTCAAAATACAAGTGGACTCAAACGATGGTAAAACAAAGCCATCCATCTGAATCAAAAACAATAAATCAAACAAACAGAACAATGATTTGATAAAAGAGGAACGAAAAGGGCATGCAAGTATGAGAAATGTATACCGAAAGAGTGATGCCGGCGGGGGAGGCGGAAAAGGGTTTGGAGATGGGAAGTGAGATAGAAAATGGCAGTGAGGTGGGGTTTTAGAAGGAACCAGCAACGTTTTAACTATATACCCATCAATTGAACCTCATTCTCATTAATCACAAATTTGAATGTTATGCACAACAATTTCATTTTCATGTATTTTAATTACATTGACTTTTATTTTTGACAGTTAACTACATTGATATAAACACTTACAACTTGAAGCTAATTGCGATCAAATTTGTGGCTAATGAGTTGTGACTTGTGACATCTAATATATCTAGTAATCTAGTAATCTAATTTTGCACGTCATTACTTTTGTATGCGATCTACATTAGCCGTACAAAATATTGCTGAATTTAGATGTTGAAATACCATTTGTTATTATACAATGCTTAGCTCTGTGGTGCAAATCATGGGATATTTCTTCAAAAATAAATTAGATTTTGCGGCCATTTAAATTGTTTAACTAGTATTAGATTGGTTCTAAAATTTCTTTTAAAGTTTTATTAAATGTACCATTATCCCTTTTCATTTATTGTATTACAAAAATACACATTTCAATTATTGTATTTTTCCTTTTAAGATTAAACAACTTGCGACTAATTATGTAAATTTCCTTTTAAGATTTTCGTACAATAATAATGGTGTATGAAAACATATAGAATACACAATATTCCTATTCCCTGTTGTAGAAAATGACAAAAGCATACACACCGATAGATAAATTAAAACATAAACCCTTACTTATCTTAAGATTTTTCTTCTTAGGTGATAATAGTTAAACAAGAGGCACACGTGTGGTTTGCTCAAATGAGATGCGAAGGAAACAAGAGCACACGTACGAGTCTGTTAAATTGTAAATAAATGGTTACAGATACAGTTCCAATCTCTATCTGTATAATACTCCACTAAAGAATAATCAATTATAGTAGCGTATAAATTAATAATTTGTTATGACTATTACTTAAGTGCGTTTGGACTTGTTGGTGTCGATGGAACAACCGCACAAGCTGTAATGAAGTGTTTTTCCATCTCTCTTTGCATTCTCCTTTCTCTCTTCTCTTTTCAATGGTATTCTTCTTTTTATTTATTTTTTATTTATGCTGTGTTTGATTATTCTCTAATACAAATTGTCTGTGTTATTTCAGTGTGTCATCTAGAAATGTATCTGAGAGTGACATACAACAAGCTACCATCCCACCAAGAGGTTGGAATTCCTACGACTCCTTTTGCTGGACAATTTCTGAACAAGAATTCTTACAAAATGCTCAAATTGTTTCTCAGCTTCTCCATCATCATGGATATGAGGTATGTGTTCTTCAAGGAATTATACCTTATGGGTTTGTGCTAGTTTTATCTGATATAGACATGATATCTTTGTTTCAAACACTTGTAGTATGTTGTGGTGGATTATCTCTGGTATAGAAGAAAAGTAGAAGGGGCTTACCATGATTCTCTTGGGTTTGATGTGATTGATAAATGGGGGAGGGTGATTCCTGACCCGGGAAGGTGGCCTTCTTCGAATGACGGGAGAGGGTTCAGCCATGTGGCTAATCAAGTGCATATCATGGGTTTGAAGTTCGGGATTCATGTTATGAGAGGGATAAGTACACAAGCTGTCAATGCAAACACGCCTATCCTAGATACAAAAACGGTATTGCTTCGTAAATCTTCTATGACTTGAATATGGTTTCATTTCTTTCTTAAATTAGTAACATTAGCAGCAATGTATGATGATATTGTTTTGCCTTAATGTCGAGCTTTTCGTTTTACTTCCTTCGCTTTCAATTTCTTAGGGACGTGCTTATCAAGAATCTGGTCGAGTTTGGTATGCGAAAGACATAGCAATCCGTGAAAGGGCTTGCGCATGGATGCCTCATGGTTTCATGAGCGTAAATACAAATTTGGGTGCTGGCAAAGCTTTTTTGAGGTCCCTTTATCAGCAGTATGCTGCATGGAATGTTGATTTTGGTAGTTAGACTTCTATTTTATAAACAATTTTATACAATTTATTGCATCAACTAATTTTTTCATATCATATCACCAAAACTTCTACTTCGTACTAATTATAAAGTCCACATAGCACTCTTCTTTGGGCAGATAGTTAACTACAAAATGTGTGTATGGAAGCAAAGATTGATATTTGCTCATGTTTGAGTTAGGGCCTTAGGGGTTACATAAAAGCAAAATAGCAACAGAAATTACTTTATGGACTCTAAACTATAGTAAGCAATTATGCCTTTCTTTGGCAACAATTTTGATAGATTGTCTATTTTCCTATGCAGTGAAACATGACTGTGTATTTGGCGCTGACTTGGATTTAAATGAAATAAGCTATGTATCAGAGGTATCATACAGTTCTCCCTCTTCTCGGTCCTTCTCTTTCTCATACAAACACTGACATTGGCACTATTATGCCAGGGTTATTGGCAAACTTACCATATGGCATGTCATTATTGCAGGTTCTCCGGGAGCTTAATCGCCCCATTGTCTATTCATTGTCTCCTGGAACCAAAGTGACACCAGCCATGGCCAAGGATGTCAGTGGACTGGTCAATTTGTATCGTATAACAGCGGATGACTGGGATACATGGGGGGATGTCAAATCTCATTTTGATGTATCAAGGTGGTTAAATTACTGTGTTTTGCTTCAAAATACTTCTTTCTATGTTGCAACTTTGCTGCTTCTCAATCTGTGATCCGTTATTCCATCATCTTATCATGTAAATTTAATTCATTTCATTCTGAATCAGAGATTTTGCAGCTGCGCATATGATAGGGGGAAAAAGTTTAATGGGGAACTCATGGCCAGATTTGGATATGCTTCCATTTGGATGGCTAACTGATCCGGATAGTTGCTGGAGTAAGCCCTATTAACCAATCTATGTTGATTGACTTTGCTTTTATATCATTTCAACGAGAATCTGAGTTACACACATAGAACATTGGCAACGGAACAGATTATTAAATCAAATAAAATTTAGATTTAATTTAATTAGAGGCTAAATTGCATTAAATATGATTTATATTTAGTGGTTCATTCTATAAATACAAGAGGAGCACACTTCCTAAAATTCCTAATGGCTGCGTCCCCTCATGAAATGAAATGACAAACATTCCGTTCCGTTTTGTGCTCGCACAGACTATAAAGAGACACCGACATTTTCTTTATTTGTGATTGGTTAAAACACACTTTTAGAAGTAATCTTAAAATCATTGAAGGTGTTTTATTTGATGTTTGATTCGTGATTAATGGTATCCAGAACTACTCGTTGAATTGTTTTGCCAAGAGGATTAAAGTTTTTTAAAACCCATTTTAAATTCCCAGAAGTAATAAGGCCGTGCTGCTGCCTTTTCTTATTCACGTATGAGTATCACTCATGAATATCGTTCATGACCCTTTAATCATGACACTGAATTTTCGCCTCTTACTTTTGAAGCTTCAAATACTGGTCCACGTAGGTATAGTAACCTCAACCTCGAAGAGAAGAGGACACAGGTATTAATAAAACCATAACTGAGTTGCTTTCCCATAAATTCATTTGTTAATATGTGTGCCTTATCAAAAGAAACTGAGTGAATGTATTCCTACACAGATGACCCTATGGGCAATGGCAAAGTCTCCCCTTATGTATGGGGGCGATCTACGGAAGATTGATCGCACAACATATGGTCTTATCACAAATCCTACCCTTCTAGAGATTAATTCTTTTAGTTCAAATAATATGGAGGTATGTGATCCATTAAACTTTTTTTCGGGGGAAAGGGATATAATATGTTTGTTAAATTGATGTATTTTGTGGTATTAGCAGTTTCCTTATATCGCAAGCTTGAAGAATGAAGATCAGAATTCTGATAGGCAAATGAGAAGAAGCTACAGAGAAACAAAAGCATCACATACACATTCATTAGGCCTCACTAGCTGCACTGAGTCAAAGGCAAGTGGTTGGACTAGTGAGAGTATTAGTCAGTATCCTGAAAGAATCTGTTGGAAAAGGAATTTAGGAAACAAGCATCTTGCCCCCTTCTGCATGCACAAGAGAGAACTGAACTTGGCATCGTAATCATGCTTTGTCTTCACTCTATGCTCTATTTGCCTATCTTTAATTTGATTATTTGTGTTCTTGATAACAATAGAAATCATCGTATTGATATTGACGCAGAGATGAAGACAATATGTATCAAGATTATCATCATTTAGTTGCAGTGGACAGAATAAAATTTTGCTTGGATGCTTCTCCAAAACAAAACCTTACTTCCAATTCGAAAGAGTTCAAGAGAGGTACATTTTCGTCCTGCAAGTGGGATTCAAATCAGGTATGTTGTGCCATTCTGCGATTAAGTTTTGTAAGAGTGAGATCTCTTGTAATCATTTAACCAGCGCGTAGTTTTGATGTATTCAAGGATTATTTTGTTTGTGCATCATTGTTTTTATCCATACCATCTTCTTGAGACAACCTTTTGATTTGCATGCATTTTTTATTTATTTATTTAAATCTGTATATTCTATTGGATGTTGATCTATGCAGTTTTTAACAGATGTGGCGGTTGAATCGTAATGGGACACTGGTAAATAGCTATTCAGGCTTATGTGCAACAGTAGATCCTGTTAAAGGTGAAATTTGCAAATGCTTACCACTTTATGAAAATATTGTCCTTGTGCAACTTCTTGGGGTTATCTTGGTTTTTCCTTTAGTTTATCATTACTCATAATGCTAGCTGGTCATTTATGCAGCTACTATTAATTCTGGTGGTTTTCGAGCATGGGCTGCAACCGGAAGAACAGGTCAGTTAACAAAAACTACAGATAAACCTTGAGAGTTCTCTTGATTTTTCTCCAACTTCACTCACCCTGATAACATCAAAGCAAATTAATTAATCATT